TGAGCTCGTTTATTGCTATTGTTATAAAATTTTTTAAGATAAAAACTACACTAAAACCATCTAGGAAGTATCATGAATCAGTGTGCAAAATTTCAGTAAAATCAGTTCAGTAGTTTTCGCGGTTAGCGATTACAACGGTTTTAGCAACTTTGCTTTATATATTAGTAAGATACATCTTTGACAAACTTGTAGTACATTAATTATGATTGTACAATAGTTAATCCATTACCTTTAAGGACAAGACTTGAAGTTTTTCTAAGATTTTTTGTGTGACATAGCAATCATAAGTTATATCTCTTTGACAAACTTGTTTTACATGAATCATGATTATATAGTCGTGAATCCATTTTCTTCATGGATAAATTACAAGATTTAAAATTTTTTTCAGAATGCGTTAAAATGTTTTTATCATTACTTTTGTTAGTGCATGAAGCCTTTAATATCTCAATTTGCTATTTTTATAATTTCTTTCCTGGTTTAGCGGGCAAAACTTTTCAAAACGTATGACTACGTATCGTGCTGATGTTAATGTATTGTGAGTATAAGGTCATAAACGGTATGTTATTTGAAAGGTAATCAGTCTGCTTGACCATCAACAATGCTACGCGTTCAGAATTTTTTTGATTCTTTTAGAACAACGTACTAATACTTCTAGAATGATTTTTAAAAACTTTGAAAACTTAAAAAGATATTGAATAATTACGTCGATTTAAATATTGTAATCAGAAACCAATATCAGAAATCGTCCTTTTTATTTACACTAATTTATATTTTAATTGATCAGTTTGTACATGGTTTTTTAAATCTCGCTTACACATTTGCTATTTTGCGCCGTTTACAATTGGATTTACTCCCTATGCGTATCGACTGCATCAAATATCAAACTAAACGTTTAATCTCCTGGAATTTTTGTTTTCGCCTTTATTTTGCTTTAACCTTTTAATTAATTTTTTGTCACAAAATGCTATTACACATAGTGCACGTGTGTATGGCTCGTGAACTACGTTGAGCGCCAGAAAATATGTGTATGACGTTCTCTTTGGTTGAATGGGGCTATTTGCCAAAAAGAAGACACGCCCGTAAATACTTACGTACGTAAGAAATAAGGTCGTGGATTTAGGGCTCACTCTTCTATACAATGACACAGCATTTTGTTTCCACTACAAGACAACTTTAGGACTATAACTTCTCACCCTTTAATACCCCACATACAAGTAAACAGAAAAAAAAATAAAGAAATGGCTCGGGTGTTCGTCATCTCTTAATACCACGAGCAAATCAAGTGACTCTGAAGATCCCTTACCCATAAATATAGAATTAAAATTAACCTATATATAGATCGGTGCATTACTTTTAACGTATATGTAGCATAAATAATGGTATATGCGTAAATCATCATAGATGAGCAAATTAGAGGCTGAAAAATTAATTTTATTTTCAATTTTTTTTACAAAGATCATGTGCTTCTAATCCTTCGAAGAAAAACATAATTTGCTTTTTTACATAGAAGAATAAGACAAAGTACTATAGTATCATAATACTATGTGACTCAATAATCACTCTAAACAGAGTAGGATAACAATTAACCAATGACGATGATAAAAAATTGCTTAAACTCATAATATAAGTTATACAAGCAAAAGAAAATAGAATAAGAGCGTGAGAGCATTGGACACAACGCCTTACCAAGTACGTCGTATTAGGCCAGTATAATAATGTATGAGATCAGCTTAGATACGGATAAGCAAGAACAGTTGACCTGCTATGCAAGGAATAAAGATCTAGAATCTGGCGTTGCTGAGTTGTGATAAAACAGAATACCTCAGTTAAACTCTTAAAGACTATATTTAGCCTGTGCGTTAGACACTCGTTCTACTCACTCTACTAGTTTACTTTTTACCAGTAGATTTGAATACTAAATGGTAAACTCGAATTTAATTATAAAAAAATATTATGCTAGCAACATTTTTATAGTAAATTTTACTATAAAAAACAATTTTTGTGAGTGGTAGTGACAGATAGTTACAATGTGTATGTGTTCATGTGAAAGATTACATTTGCAGACTCCAAGTGCTTTAGAAGAATATTATATACTAATAACTTTTGAAAGTTAGTTGGACTGTCCACATAAGTTCAATTGTGCCTTTACAATAACCACAGTAATTTTTCTTTTCAATAATATCTGCATAGGCCATCTATGTTCATTATAAACATTTATACTATTAGGGCTCCTTTCCTTGCGAACTTCGCTTATCAACCCCCACAAATATACGATGATAGAATTAATGTGATCGTGGCCATGTTGTATCTAACCTTGTGCTACCAGAGCTGATTTTACTACAACAGCAAGCATGGGAATACAACCCTGAGGAGTTCAGGCAGCCACATCATCTGAAAATTTCATTAGTTTCCCCTCAGTAGTTCGACCCAACGGCATACCCACAGAGGAGATATTATCTGAACCTACTTCTCTGACCAACAGTAAACGGTTGGTTATCCAGGGAACGATCCGTAAATGAGATATTCTTCGGCCAGCGGCGTACATCCCTCCAGCATGGTCTCCGTACACAGAGATTCTAAGGGAAAAAGTCAAACTAAATCATAAGGAACGACCGAAAGTATCACCACTGGATCTTTTCAGAGCCATCGGTTCTTGTTAGGGCCATCTAACGTTAAACTACCTTTCCTTTTAACTACCATTTCCGGCAACTACTCGTCAGCTAAAAAACTACATAAAGCCGGCCACTATTATACTAAGTAACTTATTCACTGACTGACATCACGAAAAATGAGCTTGTTAAAACGCAGCAGTCTACAAGATTATCTGAGGCTCTAAAAGGGGCCCTTGTTTATATTTTATTAAAAAAGGATTAAGTTTATATTTATTTCGTAAACTATAAAATCAAGCTATAACAATTTTTAAAAAATTGGAAAAAACATACATGTTGCATTATCTCGGTTAAACGAAAAATCAGAAATTTTAAAATTTGAAAATTTTGTTGAAACACATGGGCGAATAAGAACTGTAAAATTTCTTTGCCGTTCGTCATTGTTTCAAAATTAGCAAGAATATAAATCATCAGAATAAGTGTGTACAAAGGAATGAATCTAACTATAGATTATGAACATAATTTAACATTCGTAAATCATCATAATAAAATTATAAAAATACAAACGTTGAAACGAGTTGAAATCAACCGTGTCAGTCTTCTCAAATTATAGTTAAGGTAGATCAAAAGGATCTACCAACGTGTGACTAACTTCTCTAAATGAGCATTTAACCGATGACAGTCAAAAGGATTACGATTATGCTATTTACGAATTATATTTATATAAAATCTCTCTAATAGTTGGTTTACATATGGATACAACGATTACACAAAAAACACAAGTAGAGGAACTCATTTGTGAATATAAAAATTATTTCAAGAACGTGCTAGTTCTTTAGACACTTAAAAACACAAGCTCATTTTAATATTTGACAATACTTTTTGTATACGTCAATATCCAACTTTTTTCAATTACCGTGAACAAGTACTAAACAAAAAGAGAAAATCTTGTAGTTTTACGTTCATTAACCAAAAAAAGTGATCACATTAATAAGTTTGCGTTGTAAGTAGTAAAAAGATTGGATTGAATGACCTGGTGCTGGGTATATGCTGTACGCCGATCTTGGGTAGTCTGTCTATAGCCAAAGCAAAAGTGAAAACAATCCATGCAAGCGCTGATTGGATGCACGGCTCACAATATCTTTGGTAAGTCTGCCCACCCAACTGTTGGTTCGTGTGATCGACCAAGCGCTTGGTGCTACTGCTCGACCAGCTTGGGTAGTCTGCCTACCCAAAGTCGGAGAGCAGACGGCCCAAGCACTTGGGTGCACTGCTCACAGTAATATTGATACGTCCACCCGCCTAACTTTTTTCCAGTCGAGTAAGCAGAGTGAGACGCTTTCCCAAAGCTAGTTTTGCATAGACTGAATAATAATATCGATAAAGCCGTCTCGCACCAAAGGTTCAATATTTATATGAGTAGTATTAGTAATACGTGTTATATAATGTAGAATCAATCATAAATGTAGAATTACAGGTAATAGGTAATCTCCCCAAAGTAACGTTATCATCAAGCAAATGAAAGATAAGGATTGCTCGAACTAAGCAAGAACGCTTTTTTCCGTATTATAAAATTTAGCACGGGCATTAAGCCTCGAAATTGAAATGTTACTGTAAGTATAATAACACTTATGTGCTAGAAAACGCTTTGAACATTATAATGCAAGTAAAATTAGATAAAATAAAACAGCATGTACAATTCAAATTACCTTTTTTTTTAACTACTTACAACGCAACCTTATTAAAATAATCACTTTTTTTGGTTAATGAACGTAAAACTTAGAGCTTAACAAATAGCATAGAAAGGTGTAAAATAAAATTTTTTTTATTTCAGGATATTTATTTTCAAGAGCTGATAGTACTAAGTAGTTAGTTTTGTAGAATATTACACTGGTGTTTCAGATATATAAAGGGAGTGAAGTTTTAATATGATAAGATATACAATGAAAAAAGCCTGTTGAGCGTCTCATGTTAAGTAGTAATGTTAATAACTGCAGAGTTTCAGGCTTTGACTAAGTAACGGTTTTTTACTATCTAACGGTTTCAGTGATAGTGGCAGGATAATTGATTCTGAAATACAAGATTCAGTGAAAATACTGATAAACGATATTTGTCAAATGATGTAAGAATACAGACCTATAATAAAATGGATAACTAACTTAATAGTGTAAATATATTTCACGCAAAATGAGAATGCGGCTGTTTGGTAAATTAAATAAACCAACTGGTTTTAAAAATTCGTGAAAATCAAGTAACATAAAAAAATTTTTTTTTATTTTTTAGTTAGTTACATTATTTACGAAATTTTTTTAGCAACAACAAAATGTCAATTGAGTTCTTTATATACCTTTACATGAAGAATCGAATATAAATTACTAAGACTAATCTTACCTTTGAGAGCGTTCATTATATCAGAAACATTTTCATTCCACTCATTTCTTAGGGCAATGTGTACTGCTGGCCAATCACGTTGCCACATTTTTTGAGCAACTAACCAGATATTTTTTATATCAGGAGACTCGTTCTTTACATTTCTTGGTATCCTTTTCCACAGATGTTTGGCATTACATCTATCAAGTAAAAGAAAAGAATTAAATCTTGAACTTTTACACATAGTATTACAGAATCGGCTTCCAAGACAAAAAAAAATACAGTATGTTTTATATTTTATCATAGATAGTTTACTATAAATTCTAATCAGTAGAACAAAACTGTTGGAGTAGATGACCATTCAATAAGCTAAATAAGTAAAATTTAAATAACGAGAAAATATAGGTCTAATTGTTAAATTGTAAAATAAGTTGGAGGGCTGATCGTACAATCGGTATAGTTGTAGGTGAGCTGCGCTCTGTTTTCATTATTTTCTACACTTCCACGTACTATTAAACAGCTACTCTTTCCTTAACATTTTTGTTTCACTTATTTATATCATTAGTTTCAGTTGCAGCTGTTCAAATAAATAATTTTTTAAATTTATGTCTCTTTGTATTCCTTAGATTATGGGTGTAATGGACGTGAAGTACACATATGTTGAACATAGGACCAGGCATCTAAATATTTTAATGTGAACACTTTATGCAAAGTTAATAACAACAGTTTACCTTGTATGGTTAAATGTGGATGTTATTATCAACTGATTTTTCGATGAGTTTCATCTCAGAAGCAGCTTATAATAATCTGAGAATCACACGATTCTAACTTAAAACTCATGTGAGATTTTGGCATGAGTCTTACCTGATTTGTAGCTGAACTTCGTCTAGTAGGTAGAGTCTAGGGATTCTAGGAATCTTAAAATCCAAGAACTCCTTGGATCTTAAGAAGCTACTACTACTTACATCCTAAGTATATTCAAATCTTTCAAGGATATGGAAGTACAAACTTGAGAAATTGGGCCGACCGACTGAGTGACCGATCGCAAAAAAAACGAACTCATAGTTATGCATATATTACGTGTTGATGAGCTTGAATGCACATGATTCATCTCGATATATAAGGGAAAGTACTTATCAACTCGTTAAAATCACTATTGTAGGTGGAAATCGTTAAATCCAGAATCAACATTGGCATACTATGTACTGGATAGCATCATAAATGTAGTTGTAGAGTATACGCAGACTCAACGTATACTTTATATGTATTTAACGTGTTTTGTAAAAGTACAAGGTAAGTGACTTTATGAACGTGCTTACTATTCTACTTTTTATAGCGGGATTGGAACATGTTACTCGTGAAAAATCGTGGTGGGGAAATTTTTTTCTTGACGCTTTGACATTCTGCTGGCTTTTTCCGTCCTACATTACCGTACCCTTATGCGTGATGTCTATGACGGTCAGTTTATTGCGCCGTACCTATAAAGAAGATAATAATGTATATGTGAGCTTTTTATGTATCTAATTTGCAGAGCTGCAAAAGCAATATTTATACAATGCATTTTTAAAGTATTTATTATAACATAAGTTTGTGTTATAACTATTTCTTTAATAGGCATTTATACAATTTGTATCGATTTTTAGAATGAATTCAGTGATTCATCATTTTTGCCTGTGAGAATGTCTCTGAGACTTAAATATCGATGGCATTCTGAAATCAACTACATTGTTATATGTGTAATATAAGATTCGTTTCACGTCAAATGGTGCATATTTATAGGGATAGAAATGCCGATAAAAATGAGTGGGCTATAAGTAGACGAGACAAATTGGGAAATCCTCCACTTGAAATCACTTCTGCAATCAGGATATGTGTTACATGTAACCAAAATATACTTCATGATTTTCGTTTGGTTGAAGAGAATCCCACTTGTGTTAGGTTAAACGTTTTTTCACAAACTCAAAGTACCTCTTGCTTCATTTGTGGCGCTACAATCAATATACATGTGTTATCGAGTGAGTGCAAGACTTTCAACAATGTAATATTTGTATACCACAGTTTGTGAAATTATGAACAAGACATTTGGACAGCCGAGGTTACGTAATGCGTCTATTATTTGACAGTTTTCGAGTTATAAATCAACCATGTGTGATTTCTGAATCTTACGTACAATTTTTTTACAAGAGATTCAAACTGTCGCTCTTTTTAAAGTAAGATTTACTGATGAGTGTAGTCTTACAGAAGATGAATTCACTTGTTTTACATATTTAAGCAAATTTCAATATTGAGATTTGTTTGAGTATTTTGTGATTGTTCCTTGTTAAGGTGGCCATGGGTATGTTAAAAAAGGGACTAGCTTGCTTTCTTGTGTACGTTGCGACAGGGATTTAGTGACGAATTTATCACGACAGTGTGTAACTATTCTACAAGTCAAACTGCAAGATTAGCTATAGCCACTATGGGGCAGTCTCTTATGCTGCAGTTTGTTTCACAGAATACAAGTTTTGCAACAATCACAAGAGACCGATATATGGAAAACCATGTAACGGAATTTGCGAATATATAATAGTATTCTGCAATTGGCATACCTTAAGCAAGTAGTAGTTGATGGTACTTATTGCTACATTCCCAAAAGTTGGAATTTCCGAGTTTTAAGACTTTTTTTTTGTGTTCATAAAGGACGAAATTTGCTTAATCCAGCATTTTTAATTGCACCTAAAAGGTACATTTTAGACATCCAAGGGTCATATTTTTAACATTCAAGGTATAACGACGCTGCTATGTTACGAAATAAGATTAAAGAGGAAGGAAATCGTATGGAACAATAGTTTCGTGAAGGTGACATATTTGTAGTGGACAGAGGTTACAGAGATGCAGTCAAATTACTCGAACAGAGAGGAATTTTATGTAAAATGCCAGCGTTACTTGCACCCCATGAACTTCAACTATCTACAGAAAGCAGAAATGAATTTCACAAAGTTACTCGTGTACGGTGGATAGTTAAGGCTAGAAATGATCACATCAAGTCAATTTACAAGTTTCTTAACCTTGTCATGCAAATTAGTCATCTTCCAAATCTTGAAAACTTTGACAGAATATCTGGAGCCCTAATAAACAAATATCCCCTTATCATCCCCTTATTTATATGGAAGGTGCAGACACTGAAAAAGCTCAACGCATTAATGAAAGAGCATAGGGTATCAACGGTGTTCAAGTTTGTAATCGGAAAGAAAACCTTACGGTGAGAAACGCTCAGAGGTGGATACGTTTGAATAAAAATCGTTCACAGGATCTCCCACTTTTAACAGAAGAATATCTACAGGACTTAACCTTAAAAATATATACGTTAGAGTTAGCATAATAATTAACCTTTCCATTGTAGTTCCTATTATTGTTATTAATATTGTAATTGTTTCTGTTGAATCCACCGTTACCTCCATTGTATCCTTGATTGTTCTGATTGTCCTCTTTATTATTAAAATTATTTTACTTACTCCCACCAAATCGTCCGTCATGTCTGTTGTAGTTTTGGTTGTTTTGATTGAACCTATAGTCGTTATTTTTGTTATCATTATTATAATTGCTGCCAAATCTATCATTGTTTTCGTTGTAACCTTAGTTGCCTTGGTTGTTATTATCATAGTGATTGTTATGATTATTTCTATTCCTGTCGTCATTGTAGTTATTGTAATTATTTCTATTATAACCGTCGTTAGGCCTGTTATTGTTGTAGTTATTGTAATTATTTCCGTTATAAATGTCACTAGGCCTGTTGTTGTTGCAGTCATTATGATTATTTCTATTACAGATGTCGTTAGGCCTATTATCGTTCGTGTAATCATTTCTATTATAGTTATCGTTAGGCTTGTAATCGTTGCAGTTATTATAATTGTTTTCATCGAATCCGCCGTTGACCTCGTTGTAGTTTTGACCGTTCTAATTGTTTCCGCGCAAGTATTGCTTGTCGTTAAAGTTTTGTGCTCTCTTGTTTTTATTGTATCGGTCTAGCGGATTGTACCAAATTATTGTCTTTTTTCGGCATTTCTCACTAACGTGCGGCACTCGCTCGTGCTTTGTCCCTTCCACTTACAGTACGCACAACTCAGGATCGAGTTACCGTTATTATTTGCTGCTGTCTAATTTGTTTGAGTGTCGTTCCTTGCCGGTGTATCATGTTCCCCTTTATCTGAATTTTTTGTCTCTTTGGCTTCCGTATTCAGCGGGAATATTTTGCACAGTCTTGTCACATGGTTGTGCCCGTTGCAGAATGCATAGGGGTCTTAGTTTGTCTCGTTTGGGTACCATTTTGGCGTGTTTGCTACTTCCACTTGATAGTACATGTACACACTTTTTTCTGTTTCTTCTGTCCCTACTTGTGTCATTCTTATGCACTCATTGCGCCACGTTAGTACATCGCAGCGTAAGCTTATTTCGCTGTCTATTGTCAGTGCAATCACTATTGCTTCGCCTAATGTTGGTGGGTTGCATCAAGTTACCTGGTAGTTATGCGGAGTCGGTAGCCCATAGTAAAATTGCCTTACTGACTCTTTCTCTGCTTTTTTTTTAGCAACATCTTCTATGTTGGTGAGTAAATTGAGCTCATGTCATATAGAATTATTATTCGGCCGTATATTGCTTGGATTTGGTCACAGTACGAATCTACCGGCTCATTTATTTGTTGTGATACGATTCTTAGTTTTGCCAATAAGGTGGTGGCGTTGTCGGTGCAAGTATATCTATTTTTAACTCTGTCAAAAATTGATCTTTTGTCAAAAATTGTGCCAATCGGGGAACGAATTCGCTTGCCCAACTTCGTAATGTTTGCTAGGGTTCCTATGAGGAATTTTTCATGTAGTGGTCCTACTGTAGAGGATACTATTTTAGTCATTTGTTCGAACAATGGGAGTTTTACTGGGTCACCATCGAATATTAGTATGTTGTTGGTAAGATTACTCAATGTGGCTAGGGAGTTTTGTAACCCGCGTGTGTGAGTTTGCTGTAACGCATGCTCTGTCAGCCCTAGGGCGTAATTTTGCGTGCGTTCGTACCTATCACCTGTTTGGTATGTATAATGTATATCTACAAAATCATGCTTATAGGCTCTATTATGTATGTCATGATTTCCAATAAAATTTTCGTCCCTATTTGTTGTATCATTGTTTTGAGTGAACAGGAGTTGTGTCCATGTATTTGATCGAGC